ATTTTAATTTTTCGAATGTTCAACTTTTGCAATTTTTTCGATTTTTGAACTTTTGCATTTTTCGATTTACAATTTCTTGAATTTTTGATTTATCATTTTTCAAATTTTTATTTCAATTTTTCGATTTCTGATTTTTTAATTTTTCGAATTTTCAAGTTTAGAATTTTTCTTTTTTCAGTATCACGATTTTGGAGTTTTTTGCAGTAAGGAGTTTTTTGAATTTTTCAATCTACCGATTTTTCAATCTCGCAGTTTTTCCATTTTTGATTGTTCTATTTTTCAACTTTTTAATTTTTGATTATTTAGATTTTCGTTTCTTCAGTTTTACGACTTTGAAATTTTTTCGTTTTTCAATCATTAGATTTTTTTATTTTTTCCAGTTTTCGATTTTTCATTTCACAAATTATTCAATTTCTCAATTTTTAATTTTTTGATTTTTCATGTGTTTCATTTTTTGATTTATTAGTTTTACGATTTTTAAACAAAAATATAAAATATCTGAAAATTAGATGTTTTAAATTTTTGTTTCAATTTTTCGGTTTATCATTTTTTGATTTTTCAATTTTTCGTTTCTTCAATTGTTCGATTTGTAATTTTTCTAGTTTACAATTTTAAATTTTTCTATTTTTCGACGTTTCAGCTTATGAGTTTCAATTTTTCGTTTTTTCAATATGATTTTGCAATTTTTTAAAATCTGAATTTTTTAATTTTCATTTCTTCAATTTTTCGTATTGTAATTTTCGATTTTTCAATTTTTAGATATTTTAATATTTCGATTTTTCTAATTTTGAATTTTATGGTTTTTTAATTTCCCGTTTCTTCATTGTCAGATTTTACAATTTTTTCGATTCTGTAATAAACCGCTTTTTCAGGTCTCGATTTTTCCAGTTTTTGGGTTTTTCAAGCTTTTTAATTTTTCGGGTTAGAAGTTCTCGAGTTTTCAATTTTTCATTTCCTCAGTTTTTCGATTTTGTATATTTTAGATATTTTAAAATTTTTCAGTTTCCCGATTTTTGCTTTTCCAACCTCTTCATTTTTCCATTCTTTGATTTTTCGTATATTCGATATTACGATTTTGCAATTTCTTCGATTTTTCAATAAATCGATTTTATAATCTTTCGATTTATGAACGTTTTCATTTTCTCAGTCTTTCGATTTTTCAAATTTTGAATTTTTCATTTGTGTAATTTTTTGTTTCTCTTTTCACAAAAATTCCCAAAAATTCGTTTCTCTTTTCACTTTGCGATTTTTCTGTTTCGCAATTTTTGCTTTTTCAATTTTTTAACTTTTGTATTTCTCATTTTTTTTAAATCGTTGTTTCTTTAGTACTACAATTTTGCAATTTTTTTCGATTTTTCAATGAGTAGATTTTTTGATTTTTCAATTTTTCGAGGTTTCAGCGTAAAATTTCTTCATTTTTCGTTTCTTCACTGTTTCACTGTGTAATTTTTCTATTTTTCAAAGTTTAGATATTTGAATTTTTCGATTTACAATTTTTTAAGTTTTTGATTCATTTTTCAATTTTTTATTATTTCAATTTTTCGATTTCTGATTTTTTTATTTTTCGAATTTTCAACTTTGGAATTTTTCTTTTTTCACAATTTCCTAATCTTTTTTCATTAAAAATAGTTTTTGAATTTTTCAGTTCATCGATTACTCAATGTCGCAGTTTTTCGATTTTTGATTGTTCGATTTTTCAACTTTTTAACTTTCGATTAAAATTGAAATTTCGTTTCTTCAGTTTTACGACTTTTTTCGTTTTTCAATCAATGGATTTTTTATTTTTTCCAGTTTTCGACTTTTCATTTCACAAATTTTTCATTTCCTCATTTTTTAATAGTTTTTCGATTTTTAAACAAAAAATTAAAATATTTGATTATTAGATGCTTCTTTTAAATTTTTGTTTCAGTTTTTCGATTTATAATATTTTGATTTTTCAATTTTTCGTTTCTTCAATATAATTTTGCAATTTTTTCGATTTTTTAATTCTGAATTTTTTAACTTTCATTTCTTCAATTTTTCGATTTGTAATTTTTGATTTTTCGATTTCTAGATATGTATTTTTTTTTATTTTTCTAATTTTCAATTTTTCGGTTTTTAATTTTTCGTTTCTTCAATGTTACGATTTTGCAATTTTTTTTTTCGATTTTTGGAGTTTAGAATTTTTCGATTTACAATTTCTTCAGTTTTTGATTTAACATTTTTCAATTTTTCATTTTTACAGTTTTTAGATTTCTGATTTTTTTGGAATTTTCTACTTTAGAATTTTTCTTTCATTAGCATCTCGATTTTGAATTTTTTTTTCAATAAGCAGTTTTTTGAATTTTTGATTGTTCGATTTTCAACTTTTTAATTTTCGATTATTTGAATTTTCGTTTCTTCAGTTTTACGAGTTTGAAATTTTTTCGTATTTCAATCATAGGAATTTTAATTTTTCGAATTTTCATCTTTTGAATTTTTCGATTTTTAAAGTTTTGAATTTTTCGGTTTACCAGTTCTCGAGTTTTTGATTTAAAGTCTTTCGATTTTTGATTTTTCAATTTTTCGAATTTTGAACTTTGGAATTTTTCAATTGAGCGATTTTTCAAAGTTGCAGTTTTCCGATATTTGATTGTCCGATTTTTCATCTTTTGAATTTTTTATTCCTTAAATTTTTGTTTATTCAGTTTACGACTGAAATTTTTTCGCTTTTCAATCATTTGATTTTTTTATTTTTTTGATTTTTTATTTCACAAATTTTTCAATTTCTCAATTTATAATTTTTGATTTTTCAATTCTTCAGTTTTTCGATTCGTAATTTTTCATTTTTCAATTTTTAGATATTTTAATTTTTCGATTTTTCAAATTTTGAATTTTCCGTTTCTTCAATTTTACGATTTTACTATTTTTTTGATTCGTTAATTTCAGTTTTTCGGTTTTTCAACCTGTTTAATTTTTCGAGTTAGAAGTCCTCCAGTTTTATCAATTTTTTCCTTCCTCAATTTTTCGATTTTGTAATTTTTAGATATTTTGCGATTTTTCAATTTCCCGATTATTGCTTTTTCAACTTTTGCAATTTCTTCGATTTTTTAATTTTTCAATTTCAATCAGTTTTTCGATTTTTTAATTTCCCGATTGTTAATCTTTCGATTTTAAATGTTTCCAATTTTCTATTTACAATTTTTAGCGCTTTAATTTTTCTTTTTTTGATCTTTCAACTTTTCGATGTTTTCATTTTTTCATTGTTTAATTTTTCTGTTTTTCGATTTTTCAAATTTTGAATTTTTCTTCAATTTTATATATATAAATTAGCATTCCAGGCCAAGTTGACCCATGGCTTGGTTTTCTTCAATTTTACGATTTTGCAATTTTTTCAATAACTCGATTTTTTAATTATTCATTTTCACAATTTTCCAGCTTTTCATTTTACAATTTCTTGATTTTTATTTTTCAAGAACTCGATTTTTTAGTTTCCCGATTTTGCGACTGTCGATTTTTTAAATTTTGAATTTTTCAATTCTTCAGTTTATTAGTTTTTTGAGTTTTTTCTTCAGATTTTCTATTTTGCAATTTTTCAACTTTCAAATATAATTAACAAATCTAATGTATGAAATGTATAAAATAATAAAAAATCAAATTTTTTCGTTTTTCAATCATTTGATTTTTTAATTTCTTCCAGTTTTCGATTTTTCATTTCACAAATTTTTCAACTTCTCAATTATTAATTTTTTGATTTTTCAATTATTTCATTTTTTTGTTGATTAGGTTTCGATTTTTATCCTGCAGTTTTTCGAATTAAACAAAAAATCTTTCGATTTGTAATATTTTGATTTTTTTAATTTTTCGTTTTTTCAACATGATTTTGCAATTTTTTTCTATTTTTCAAATTCTGAATTTTTTAATTTTCATTTCTTCAATTTTTTGATTTGCAATTTTGATTTTAATTTTTCGATTTTTCAAATTTTAAATTTTTGGTGTTTTAATTTTCCGTTTCTTCGATTTTAAGATTTTACAATTTTTTCAATTCTTTAACAAATCGCTTGTTCAGGTCTCGATTTTTCCGCTTTTTCGGTTTTTCAACCTGTTTGATTTTTTGAGTAAAAAATTCTCCAGTTTTCAATTTTTCATTTCCTCAGTTTTTCGATTTTGTAACTTTTAGATATTTTGTGATTTTTCAATTCCACGATTTTTGCATTTTTCCATCTTTTAATTTTTCGTATACTCGATATTACGATTTTGCAATTTCTTCGATTTTTCAATTTCTCGATTGTTAATCTTTCGATTTTAAATGTTTCCAATTTTCAATTTACAATTTTTAGGGCTTTCAACTTATAATTCTTCGTTTTCGTAATTTTTTTCAATAAATCGATTTTTTAATTATGCATTCATTTTCAAAATTTTCCAGCTTTTCGATTCTCATCTTTTAGGAACTCGGTTTTTTAGTTTTCCGATTTTTCGATTTTTAAAATTTCTCAGTTTCAGTTTTTTGAGTTTTTTCTTATTCAGATTTTCTATTTTGCTGTTTTTCAACTTTCAGATATAATTAAAAACTCGAATAGACGAAAAATCGAAAAATGAAAATATCTAAAAGTTGAAAATTCGAAAAATTGTGAAACAAAAATCGAAAAACTAAAGAACCATTAAACAATAGTGTGACGTTTATGTAAACATCATTCGTTGTGTAATGTGACGTTAGATTATGAGAAAGGAAGGTTAGATTTGATTACGCATATTATCGAATTTCGAAAAAAACTAAAGATTGACACTAAAAAAAATCACACTCATTTAGATTAAAGTTGATTTCCTGTTTCCTGTAACTGGGTTTTGTTAAATAAATAAATTATTATTTAAGTAACAAATTATTAACATGAAAAAATCACAAACTGTAGCATTAACTGAGAAAAGAAATAAGAACAAAATCACAATATTTACTATAAATTACTGTTACATATAACATTTAAAAAAACAAAAAATATAAAATAATAATTATAATATAAAAAATACATTTTAGTAAAGACTGTATACGGGTAAAAATTCGTACGATTACATGATTTTTTAACTTTGGCTTACTTTTAGCTGTGTGTGGACACGTTTCACATTTATGCCATTCAATTGCTTCATCGTGCAAATGCCGAGTATTTAATAGTAAGAACTTTCAAGCCAGTGTTTGTTTTGCTTTGTAATCACATTTATCACATTTGTACCATTTAATATATTTCTCATTTAAATCATTTCATATTTCTCTCACATCCGTGTTTGGTTTTTAAGTGAGTTTTGAAAGACCCCGAATGTTTAGTTTTAAAATAGCAAATCTGGCATTCGTACCATTTAACATCTTCATCCTTTAAGTGGTGGTTGTTTATGTGACGCTTTAAATTCCCGTTAGTTTTGGCTTTGTAGGGGCAAACTTCACATTCGTACCATTTAATATCGAGTGGATTTGTATGTAGCCTAATGATGTGACGTTGCAAGCCAGGTTTTTCTTTTGATTTATAATCACATTTATCACATTCATACCACTTAATACTTTTCTCGTCCAAGTGGTGTACTTTAATGTGCCTATTTAGCGTCGACGAGTCTTTGGCTTTATATGGACACTCGGTACATTGGAACCATTCTATATCTTGTGCACTTAAATGGTGAGCATTTATATGTTTTTTTAAATGCGTCTTATTTTTAGCTTTATGTGGACATTGGGCACATTTAAACCATTTAATATTTTCTTTAGATCCGTGCTGGGTAATTGTGTGACTTTTGAGAGACCCCACATGTTTAGTTCTAAAATTGCAAATTTTGCATTCGTACCATTTAATATCTTCATCTTTTAAGTGGTGTAGGTTTACGTGACGCTTTAAATTGCTGTCACATTTGGTTTTGTAGGGGCAAACTTTACATTCGTACCATTTAATATCGCGGGGATGTGTATGTCGCCTATTGATATGAATTTTCAAGCCACTGCGTTGCTTTGCTTTGTAATCACATTGATCACATTTATACCACTTAGTATCTTTTTTGTCCAAGTGGTGTACTTTAATGTGACTATTTAGCGTCGATAAGTCTTCGGTTTTATATGGCACACATTCTATATCTTGTGCACTTAAATGTTGTTGAAAATGTGTATTGCTTTCGGTTTGTTGTAGACATCGGTCACATTTTAACCATTTAATATTTTCTTCACATCCGTGTTGGGTAATTAGGTGAGTTTTGAAAGACCCCACATGTTTAGTATTAAAATAGCAAATTTGGCATTCGTACCATTTAATATCTTCTTCATTTTTGTGAAATAGTACATGTTTTTGAATGGCAAGTTTATACTTAGTTTTGAATGAACAATTTTTACATCTGTGCCATTTAATATTCTCTTCGTTCACGTGGACCACCTTGATGTGCTGTTTTAAATTGGGCTTATGTTGTGTTTTGAATGGGCATTTTTTACATTCATACCACTTACCGTCTTCAGTAGGGTGTGATACAAGTTTGTGACGAGACAAGTTGTTTTTATATTTGGTTTTATACAAACACTCTCCACATTCGTGCCACTTAATATCTTGTTCATCTAAATGATGCGCATTTATATGCTCCTTTAGTGCTCTATGATATTTAGTCTTATATTGACAGTTTTGGCATTTATGCCATGTAACATCCTTATCTTTTGAATGATGTAGAATAATGTGTCTCTTTAAAGCCAACAAATTTTTACCTTTGTATGGACAAGTCTGGCACTCGTGCCATGTAATATCCTTCTCATCTAAGTGCACGGAATTTATATGCTTGATTAAATTCCCCTTGACTTTAGTTCTATACGGACACTTTTCACATTTATACCATTTAATACCCTGCTCGTCCAGATACTCCATAACATCGGGAGTTTTTAAAGAAATCTGACTCTTTGGTTTGTTCATATGCCTCATTACATGTACTTTTAAACGCGATTTCAGAATGGTTTTATAGGAGCAATGTCCACAATAATACCACCTACGTTGATCATCACTCAAATGTTTTAAAATTTTGTGTGCCTCCAAGTTTGCTTTCCTTTTGAATCTGCATTCACACTGGTTGCAGTAATACCACGAGGTAATTTTACCATTACTTGTTACTATTTGAAAGTTATTGCTCCCCAAACACTGCATACTGTGCTGAAGCCTCTTAAGCTTGAAATGTGTTTCAAAACTGCACTTCTTGCAAATGAAACTTTGACTTGAGTAAACTTGCTCTGGTAAATTCTCTTCAGACTTCCTATAACACTGTCGGGCGTGCTGCTTGAAAAGAAGTGTTAGTTCTGTCTGGAAATTGCAGTCCTCACAGTGGTAAGTTTCGACGTCGATATTTTCACAGTTGAAATATTGTGGGGGCGCTCGGTGGCGTTTAACGTGGTTCACCATGAGCAAAAATGAGGTTGTGAAATACGGACAAATCTTACAGCGGTGGACATTGTTCGGGGAAGGCTTCATATACGCGAGCTTCTTCGAGTATTTTAGTAGCGACATGGTCGTTTATCTAAAAATTATTATAAATGTGCGGAGTGTACGTCAAGTTTGTTTTTACCTGGCACGAGAAAAGCGTTTAATTTGCTATTGTTCCAATATAACCTCAAATTTGTCGGCTTTCTAAATCGATTTTGGTTTTTTTAATATTATCAAATTATCACATGGTATATTTACTTGACAGAAAATTTTTGTAAAATATCTTATAGAGAAGGGAAAAATTCCGAAATTAAATGCCTCAGAACAAAAACTTTAGAACCACAGATTAGAATGTCACGTTACAGATTTCTGTAAGGCAATGGAATGTTATTTTTTTATTCATGATCAAAACACATTGCACTTATAATAGAAACTTTCGTAAATACTTTATTAATTTATTTACATTTTCAAAAATTGTATTTTTTTTACTTAAAATATTAATATGACATATTAATATAGGTAACCAACAATACCTATAATGTGTATGAGAGTACAAAAGAGAACATAGAGAAGCGTCATAGTTTAAATTAAATGACGGTTGAGGCACAGTAGATGTTAAACTGTGTTAGAACCTTAGATCATATAATAAATAGATACCAATACTTAAACTGAAAGCTGTGACTAGACATGAAGCTATCTGTTGTCGTTTTCTACGTCAAGGGAAGTAGTATAATGGTATCCTTGTGTGATCACCACATCTTCATCTTTGTTATATGCATTTCATCTGTATATGTCTATTTCACTTCCATCCTTGTACCGCACCAACGCAACAAATCGCTTTTGACAGATGTTTCTTCTAACCTCTCTTTCGAGTTGTTGTACAAAAAACAATTTTAGAATTTAGAACAAAGATCCTATTTTAAGTGATGTAATCATAAAGGATCACAATTGCTGCCCAAGAATTTACTATTCCTTTCGTTATCTACTGTGAATTATTTATAATATCAAGCTGTCAACATCTTTCGTACGAAGTTAGTTCAGACATACTTCCTAAAATTTAGGCGAGCAAAATTCAAATAGTGATCAGGCAAGGATAGCTTCATTGTAATCCCTCCATGCACGAGAGAGATGTGTGACAGGAGGATGTCGTCACAGGCTCTCCTAAGGAAAGAACACGGCATGGTGGTATCTATTTATTATATGATCTAAGGTTAGAACCAATTAGCGATTAAAATCCTAACCTGATCGGTGAATTTACAAACAATAAAACAAATTTACATCACGTATAGCTTCGGTCGAAAATGAGCACTTTTTCCGATTAGATAGCCGCAAGAATTGGCTGCGAAAAACTATGGCATTGTCGTCGTTACGATTAATTGTCGTTAAACGAAGGCTTCCGCTCTTTTTTTAACTACCAAGCCAACTAAATTTAACCTACCCACCACGTAGTTACACTCACCACACATACACACACACACACCTGAAGTGACGCTTTCACCTCTCTACTAAGCCAACCCTCTAAGTAAAATTTCAAGCAAAACTACCCACTTACCAAAAAGTGCTAACGTGCACATGGTTGCCTATGTTTAACGATTTTTTATTTATTTATTTTTTTTCAAATTATTCAAATTCAGTTACCGCGAACTACATACCCTAAAGCTAAAATTTTGATTTTGACGATAATGAAAATTGTTTCGTAGATCATCTATTTTTGGAAATTTCTTTGACTGAACTGAAGTGTTTATTTGGTTGCCTGCACTATAAAACCAATGTCATTTGAATGTATTTTAAGGTTAGAATTGGACGGAATATTGAAAATCCAGGAGCACGGGTTCCAGGAGCAATAGCAACATTATTGTTAAGGACTTGTATTTAACAATACCATTTTCGACTACGATATTATAAAACTGCCCAAATTGCCCCGGATAGATGTCTATCTCATCGACAATTTTCTCTGGATCACGAATCTGTGCTTATTTTTACTATACATGCATAAATAACTTAGAAAATCGTGGATTTATCCGGGCGCCTCCACCATTTCTGACGAAATTTTAAAACTGCTCAAATGGTCCCGCAGAGATGTCTATCTTATCGACAATTTTCTCAGGATCACAAATCTGTGCTCATTTTTGCTATACATCTACAAATAACTTAGAAAATGGCGGATTTATTCGGGCGCATCCACCATTTTTGACGAAATTTTAAAATTCCTGAAATTGCCCCGGAGAGATGTCTATCTTATCGGCAATTTTCTCAGGATCACGAATCTGTGCTCATTTTTGCTATACATCGACAAATAACTTAGAAAATCGCGGATTTATCCGGGTGCCCCCACCATTTTTGACGAAATTCTAAAATTGCTCAATTGATCTCGAAGAGACGTCAGTCTTATCGGAAATTTTCTCAGGATCACGAATCTGCGCTTATTTTTACTATACATGCATAAATAACTTAGAAAATCGTGGATTTATCCGGGAGCCTCCACGGATTTTGACGAAATTTTGAAACTACTTAAATACTCTATCTTATCGAAAATTTTTTCAAAATTAATACATCTATTAGCGAAAACAATGTAAAGGTTTTCGAAATATTCGGATTCAAAACCATATCCCAAAAATTACCAATTTTTGTTTTAGTGATTTTAAAAAAAAGATGACAATTTTCGAAGAAAGGAAGCCAAAAACATTTTCGTAGATAGAAATCAAGAAGTAATTTTTCAAAATTTTCATTTTAAAACTGTCCATCTCATCGGAAATTTTCTGAGGATCACGAATCTGTGTTTATTTTTACTATGCATCTACAAATGACTTAGAAAATCGCAAATTTATCAGGGCACATCCACCATTTTTGACGAAATTTTAAAACGGATCAAATTGCCCCGGAGAGATATCTATCATATCGCAAATTTTCTCAGGATCACGAATCTATCATTATTTTTACTATACATCCATAAATAACTTAAAAAATGGTGGATTTATCCGCGCGCCTCTACCATTTTTGACGAAATTTTAAAACTGCTCAAATTGCCTCGGAGAGATGTCTATCTTATCGACAATTTTCTCAGGATGACAAATCTGTGCTCAGTTTTGCTATACATCCACAAATAACTTAGAAAAACGCGGATTTATCCGGGCGCATCCACCATTTTTGACGAAATTTTAAAATTGCTCAATTGATCTCGAAGAGATGTCAATCTTATCGGAAATTTTCTCAGAATCACGAATCTGTACTTATTTTTACTATACATCCATAAATAACTTAAAAAATGGTGGATTTATCCGCGCGCCTTTACCATTTTTGCCGAAATTTTAAAACTGCTCAAATAGTCCCCCAGAGGTGTCTATCTTATCGACAATTTTCTCAGGATCACAAATCTGTGCTCATTTTTGCTATACATCCACAAATAACTTAGAAAATCGCGATTTATCCGGGCACATCCACCATTTTGAGGAAATTTTAAAATTACTCAATTGATCTCGAAGAGATGTCTATCTTATCGACAATTTTCTCAGGATCGCAAATCTGTGCTTATTTTATCTATACATCCACAAACAACTTAGAAAATCGCGGATTTATCCGGTCGCATCCACCATTTTTGACGAAATTTTAAAATTGTTCAATTGATTTCGAAGAGATGTCAATCTTATCGGAAATTTTCTTAGGATCACGAATCTGTACTTATTTTTATTATACATCCATAAATAACTTAGAAAATGGTGGATTTATCAGCGCGCCTCTACCATTTTTGACGAAATTTTAAAACTGCTCAAATTGCACCGGAGACATGTCTATCTTATCGGCAATTTTCTCAGGATTACAAATCTGTGCTTATTTTTGCTATACATCCACAAATAACTTAGAAAAACGCGGATTTATCCGGGCGCCTCCACCATTTTTGACGAAATTTTAAAACTGCTCAATTGATCTCGAAGAGATGTCAATCTTATCGGAAATTTTCTCAGGATCACGAATCTGTACTTATTTTTATTATACATCCATAAATAACTTAGAAAATGGTGGATTTATCCGCGCGCCTCTACCATTTTTGACGAAATTTTAAAACTGCTCAAATTGCCCCGGAGAAATGTCTATCTTATCGGAAATTTTCTCAGGATCACGAATCTGTGCTTATTTTTACTATACATGCATACATAACTTAGAAAATCGTGGATTCATCCGGAAGCCTCCACAACTTTTGACGAAATTTTGAAACTACTTAAATACTCTATCTTATCGAAAATTTTCTCAGAATTAATACACCTATTAGCGAAAACAATGTAAAGCTTTTCGAAATATTCGGATTCAAAATCATATCCCAAAAATTGCCAATCTTTGTTTTAGTGATTTTAAAAAAAAGATGATAATTTTCGAAGAAAGGAAGCCAAAAATACTTTCATAGATAGAAATCAAGAAGTAATTTTTAAAAATTTTAATTTTAAAACTGCTCAAATTGTCCCGGAGAAGTTGTATATCTTATCGTAAATTTTCTGAGGATCACGAATATGTGCTTATTTTTACTATGCATCCACAAATAACTTATAAAATCGCGGATTTAGCTGGGCGCATCCACCATTTTTGACAAAATTTTAAAATTGCTCAATTGATCCCGAAGAGATGTCAATCTTATCGGAAATTTTCTCGGGATCACGAATCTGTGCTTATTTTTACTATACATGCATAAATAATTTAGAAAATCGTGGATTTATCCGGGAGGCTCCACGGATTTTGACGAAATTTTAAAACTACTTAAATACTCTTATCTTATCGAAAATTTTCTCAGAATTAGCGAAAACAATGTAAAGGTTTTCGAAATATTCGGATTCAAAATCATATCCCAAAAATTGCCAATTTTTGTTTTAGTGATTTTAAAAAAAAGATGACAGTTTTCGAAGAAAGGAAGCCAAAAACACTTTCATAGATAGAAATCAAAAGTAATTTTTCAAAATTTTCATTTTAAAACTGCTCAAATTATCCCGGAGAGTTGTCTATCTTATCGTAAATTCGAGGATCACGAATCTGTGCTTATTGTAATAAATTGCGATTAAACACTACCACTATTTAAAACAGTTATTCCCTAAAATATTTCCAAATTACAACCTGTAAATGTGGTAATTTCTCTTTCATTCATTACATTCAAGGCATTTTTCTATAAACACGAAGTTGTTAAAAACAAATCAATTTGTTTAAACATTGTTAAATTAACCCCGAAAATGTACAATGTCCCGGTCAAAATAAAAAAAATAAAACCGGCAATCTCATCATGACGTTACGTTTTTCGGTCATTTGTGTTCAGTTTTGAGTTTTGATTTTGGTTTGGTGGCGACAACATCGGCATGTCGTTTTTGAATGAACACCGGTTGCACTTGTACCATTTAACCCTGGCGTCGTCCAAGTGGAACGCATTCATGTGTCTTTTGAAGTTAGAACGTTGAACAGTTTTGTATGGACAATGTTGGCACTTGTGCCATTTAACACTGTTCTTGCAATCTAAGACATGTCGCAAATATTGTAACACCGAATGAGTTGCAAAGTTGCATTTTTCACAAATGTGTTGTTCAATATGTGCATTTGCAACGTTTTGTTGTTTAAAGATGTGACACTGTTGCAAATGCTGCTTGAAAAATAGGGTTAGTTCTGTCTGGAAGTTGCAGTCCTTGCAGATGTAAGTTTCAACATTGGAATATTCACAGTTGGAAGGCAGTAAAATGGATTAGTGACGTCTCACATGGTTTATCATAATGAAGAGCGATGTTGTAAAATATGGACACAATTTACAGTGGTGGACATTGTTATGAGGTTTCACATAAGCGAATTCCTCAGAATATTCCAGTATAGACATTTTGATTTATCTAAAATTGATTATTTTTTCACTTGTAGAACATAACCTCAAAGAGCCATACACAGTGTATAAAATTTTCCTTTGTAATTCTTGCTTTGGCTAGCTACTTAACAAAAACCCCCAGAATAGGCGTCTTTTTTATTTTTGATCGCACGTTATAATAAAGCATCTATTAATTCTTTTTTCTCTATAAATGTTTTATGGGTTGCCTATAGCATACTTAACCTTAACCTCTGTTTGACCTTTGAGGTTATGTTGGTTTATCAATGAATTGAAAAAACCTAGACTTTTCTTTGAGCAAAATAAAAAAATATTGCTTCTAGATCGTAGCATCGATGTGAAGACAAGCTTAATTTTGTCGTTAATTAGTAAAATTTTCATCAGGTTGCAAAGTAAGTAAAACTATAAATACTAGTTTTGTCTAACTATGTCCGAATTTAGGTCACATAAATGTCGATTTTGGAATATTCCAAAAAGTTCCCGCCTTTGAGGCCACCCGAAAATGCCCACGTTGGACGTCTTCGTTCATCACTGCTATATTTTAACTGTGAAAGTACGAAGATTGAAACTTACTGCTGCAAAGACTGCGATTTCGAGACAGAACTAACCCTGCTTTACAAGCAGCATGTTGAAAAACGCCACAACATTAAATTAAAAAACCACGAAAAATCGGAGGAGGAATTCACCATAGAAAACTATATTTGTGAAAAATGCAGCTTCGACACTCACTTCTCCCTCAAGTGGCTTCAGCACTCCGTCGCGTGCTTGGGAAATCTAGAAAATTACCACATAACAACTTCTGCCAAAGACGCTGACAATAATTTTTTCATATGGCATCACTGTGACCAGTGTGAGTACAAATGCAAATATAAATACTCCATAAAAATACACAACATTTCAAAGCACTTAAGTGCAGATGAAATACGTTGGTATTACTGCTCACAATGTACATACAAAGCCAAACAGAAACACCATTTAAAAAAACACATATATTCCATGCATGCAGACGAACAACACGTTAAATGGCACGACTGCAAAAGCTGCCAATTTAAGTCAAAAAGTAAGTCGTCTTTGCGCAATCACGTAAAAATGCGCCACTCGGACGAAAAGGACATTAAATGGCACGAGTGCAAAAGCTGTCCTTACAAAGCTAAACAAAAATCGACGTTGGATAGACACATAAACGCGCACCATTTAGATAATCAAGACATTAAATGGTACAAATGCCAAAAGTGTCCATACAAAAGTAAGCAAAATTTTCACTTGAAACTACACATGGTCGCGCGCCATTTGGACGACGGGGATATTAAATGGTACGAATGCCAGAAGTGCCCATACAAAGCTAAACGAAGTTCGCATTTAAGAAATCATATCTTTGGGCACCATTTTGACGAACAAGACGTTAAATGGTACAAATGTACCAAGTGTCCATACAAGGCCGTTCGGCATGATGGTTTGAAACGTCATTTGAAAGTAACTCATTTGAATGAAGAGGAGATTGAGTGGTTCAAGTGCCCGAAGTGTGCGTATAAAGCTAAGTATAAATCGTCCTTGAAGAGACATTTCAGCACGCAGCACGAAAAAATTGTGAGATGGTACGAATGCGAATTTTGTGCATTCAAGACTAAACGTAAGTCGTCGCTAACCAGACATGTAAGCGCGCGCCATTTTGCGTAATTGATGTAAAATAAATATATATGTGATGTCTGTTCAGACTCAGAGTCAGGAGTATACTGGTTTTATTCAGATATAAAGTATGGTTACATATGTACACAATAGGTAGGCAACACATCTTACATTAACTATATTACATCTCCCTTTCTTTTTATAAAACTAATACTAATAATAACACAATGACACTAATGTATGTATACAAGACATAAATTATTACTAACTTAGGAATTAACAAATTGGGGACCAAAATACTTTGGATTTTTCTTAATCGTTCTATGCGGTCTATTTTGAAGTGATATTCGATTATTCGGAGGAATTGGCACAACTAAGGTCGCATGTTGTTGTACCCTGTCCTGTTCTTCATTGGTACCGATATCATTCTCAATATTCGTTTCTATATCTATTTCCTCCCTTCTACGTTTGAGAAATTGTTTGTTTCTTCGTAGGGTTTTACCCTCCTCCGTTTGTATAAGATAGGAACGATCGTTGAGTGATTTCACAATTTTTCCTTTTTTCCATAGAGTGCCAGGTTTGTCCTGATAATATATAAGATTCTCTAGAATTGGTCGCTCTTTAGTACTTCTGTCGTAGTATTTCTTTTGTTTCTGTCTGGCTTGTTCCATTTCTTTATGAAATTTATTTCGCTCGATTAGTTGAGGTTCAAGATGATGTTTTGATCTCGGTACGTTATCTCGAAGTAATCTTGCCATTAGAATTTGTGATGGTGTGTAGGTGCCATATACAGGTGTGTTTCGATAAGCTAGTAAGGCAAGTTCAATATCTGCTTTTGTTTCGATTGTTTTCTTTAATAGTTTTTTGACAGTTTGAATGGTTCTTTCTGCCATTCCATTTCCTTGTTGGTGATATGGAGAACTAGGGTGTATTTGAAATTTCCATTCTTCTGCAAATTTTTGTAGTTCTTGACTAATCAGTTGTGTGCCACTATCTGAGACTACTATAGCTGGTATTCCATGTCTAGCAAAAATAGATTTCAGATGTTTTATAACTGAGGTTGAGGTCATGTTTCTGTTAAGATTTGCAATTTCAGCATATTTTGAATAATAGTCTACTACGAGTAAATAGACTTCTCCATACAATTCATATATGTCAATTCCAACTTTGAACCAGGGAATTTTTTCAATCTGGTGTAATATTTGTGGTTCTTTTGTATTGTTTCGACTATATTGTTGACATATTTGGCATTTGCTGACAAAATTTTCTATTTCTACATTCATGTTTGGCCAGTAGATTGCTTGGTTTGCTCGTTGAATGCATTTATTTATTCCGAAGTGACCAGTGTGAATGCTATTTAAGACTTTAGTGCGCATTTTGTAGGGTATTATTATTTTATTACTTTTATAAATTAAACCCATTCCTTGAAATAATTCATTCTTGAAGTTATAATACTTTTTGATGTTGTCTGGTACTTTACTTTTGTTTTGTGGCCATCCGTTTTCTATGTATTGTTTCAGTTCTTGCATTTCCATATCTTCAGCTGTTGCACTTATCATTTCTTCTAAGCGTTCGTCACTGATTTCTATGCGATCATTTATTAGACAAATTTGACATTCTAAGTCCATTTTTTCTTGATATACTTTTGGTGACATTGATCTCGATAAATGATCTGCAATAATTAGTTCTTTTCCAGGTTTGTATTTGATTTCAATGTCATATTTTTGAAGTGACAGTAGCATACGTTGAAGACGAGCTGGACAATCATTTAGACTTTTCTTAAAAATGGGTATGAGTGGTTTATGGTCAGTTTCCACAGTAAATTTTTGTCCATATATGTATTGGTGAAATTTTTCCACTCCGAAGCAAACTGCTAATAGTTCTTTCTCGATTTGTGCATATTTCGTTTGAGTAGATGTCATGGATTTTGATGCATATGCACAAGGTGACCCGTTCTGAATTAGCACCGCTCCTAAACCATTTTTGGATGCATCTACAGAAATTGTGACTGGAAGGTTTACGTTAAAAAATTGTAAACAAGGAGGTTGCATCAAAAGATTCTTCAATTCTTGAAACGCTTTTTCTTGTTCTTCTTCCCATGCAAATGAATTCTTTTCTTTTAAAAGTTGTCTTAACAAATAAGTTTTTTCTGAAAGATTTTCAATGAATCTTCCTACATATGTAATAAGTCCTAAAAATCTTTGAAGATCTTTCTTACATTTTGGTGATGGCATCTCTTTTAAGGCACTGAGTTTTTCTTCATCTATTTCAACCCCTCTGCCTGAAAATTTATAACCTAAATATGTAACTTCTTGTAGGCCAATTCGACATTTTTCTTTATTAAATTTGATGTTTTGTTCTTGTGCTATTTTTAACACAGCTTCTAAACGTTGGTCGTGTTGTTCTTTGGTTTTTCCGTGTATGAGAATGTCATCAATATAGACCTCTACTCCTTCCATTTGAAAAAGTTGTTGAAATTTTTCTTGAAAAACTTCACTCGCAGTAGTAATGCCAAAGGGCATACGTTTAAATTTGTAGCGGCCAAAAGGAGTTCCAAAAACACATAAATCACTACTTTTTTCATCAAGTGGAATATTCCAAAACCCAGTAGTTGCATCTAGTGTTGTAAAATATTTAGAATCCTTTAAGTTTTTCATAATTTCGTCTATGACCGGAATTTTAAATTTTTGCTTCTTAATTGCTCTATTGAGATCTTTCGGATCTAGACAAATGCGAAGCGATCCATCTGATTTTTTGACTATTACAAATGAATTGAGCCAGTCTGTACTACCATGTACTTTTTCAATTATTTTATTATCTTCCAAATGTTTTAGATATTGTTTAAATTGTTCCTCAATTGCAAATGGGACTTTTCTTATTGGGTGCGAAACTGGTTGTGCATTTTCTTTTAATTCGATGCTATGCGGTTTTCCTAGCATGCCAATGCCTTCAAAAACCAAACTATACTTCGCTAACAAAGTTTGATAATGATTATTTAGGTTAACAAAATTTATACGATTTATTAAGCCTAACTTTTCAGACGTACTTAAACCTAAAATGTTTCTGTGATTATAACCTTTTACTATAAAATATTCAATTTCATAGTCATTGTTTTGAAATTTAGAAGTAATGATACATTTTCCTATTGTAGGTATCAGATTACCGTTATAATCATATAATTTATTCATACATTTTTTTATTATTGACAAACTTAGACCTAATTTATTAAATGTTTGTAATGACATAATGTTAACATCAGCTCCTGTGTCTACCTTAAATATTAAATTTATGTTGTGTATTTGTAAATTTACAGTCCATGAGTTGTTTTTATAGTTTACACTGTCAATGGAAAATTTTATTTTATTGTCATTTTCTTGTTCTGTATTTACTTCATGCAAGGATTTACGTAATTTAGCTTTACAAACTACAGAAAAATGATTGAGCTTTTTACAGAAATTACAGATTTTTTCATAAGCTGGGCAGTTATTAATTTTGTGTGATTTGCCACATTTATTGCAATTAGTGATGAAACGATCTTGCACTGACCTGTTGATTCTTGTTTCCACAGCTTGTTGATGACGTGTTACTTTTGGTGCAACTGTAGTCGTTGACCTTGGCTGCATTTTGTGTGAGAACGTAGTTCCTCGTTTTTGTTGTATTTCATGAACTTGTTTTTGCATATCTTGACTCTGTAATTTTGTATTTTCCCATAAAATACAGGCTTCGATTACGTCTTGTAGGTTTTTGTTTTGTTGGTATAGAAGTTTTTCCCGTAGTATTTCGTCTTGTATGCCTGATATTAATATCGTTTTTACCATGTCATCCTTTAGATTTCCAAATTCACACTTGTTTGCTTGATTCTTTAATTGTGTGGTGAACTGTTCAATGGATTCTTGTGGGGTCTGTCTGAGATTAACGAATTTATACCTTTCGTATGTTACATTTGTTTTGGGGATAAAATAATTATCAAATTTTTCCAGTAGAACGGCAATTTTGTTGCGTTCATTGTCTGCAATGGTGAAAGTATTATAGATGTGCAGGGCCTCTTCACCCATAAAGTGGAGTAGTTGGGCGCATTGAACTGCTTCCTCTTTCGTATTTGTTTCCGACGCAATTAGGTATGTTTGGAATCGTTGTTTCCAAATTTGCCAATTAACGGCCAAATTGTCGGTGAAATTCATCGGGGGAAGTGTTCTCTCCATTTTACTGTATTTTGCTTCTTTAATTTTGTTTAAATTGAAACAATTTGTCGCAGCGCCATGTGATGTCTGTTCAGACTAATCAGAGTCAGGAGTATACTGGTTTTATTCAGATATAAAGTATGGTTACATATGTACACAATAGGTAGGCAACACATCTTACATTAACTATATTACAATATATTAATAAATGGCTGTGTTATTTTTTACACTTTTACGATTAAAAATAAAAAAATGTTATGTAGACTGTAAATAAGTTCATTTGTGTTGTCACTGTGCACTGTATTGTTGGTTGCATATACAAAAATGTATTTTTTAAAAACCCATAATGGAACAGGTGGATATTTATTTATGCATTGCACCCACATACTTAGCCAGTGTTGTTAAATAGTTCACTGCAACTAGTTAAAAATGTAGTTCAAAATCATATGTGATTCAAGTTTTACCGTCATTTTCACCCTTTTCAAAAATCTATTTTGTCAAACGGTGCCTTTGATATTATTAATATCCGACAGATATGATATGACATTACTGTCAGTACATTAAGATTATCTAAATAAAGCACATTTTACAAGTTATGACATTAATGTAAATGACAACTGCTGAAACTGTACTTACAACTTTGACAAATTTTTAACTTATTTTTTTTTATTTTTACACTTTTAATTACATTTTAAACATGTCTTAAGCTTCTTGTTCTGAAAAGATGACCACGTATATTAAGAAAAAAGGCAAAATATAAGGAGTGCAATTTAATTGCAAAATCCTTATTATTTCTCTACAAGAATTATATTAAGAAAAAATGAATGTCAAAGATTAAGCCCCACCGATATCTGCCCTAATCTATATAGTAATGAAGTTGTCATTCGTTGGCAGAGCTAGGGGTGGAGCCTAATTACAAAATCCATATTTCCTTACAAAAATTTACCGTTTTAAGCGTATTTCAAGTTCAAGTTTGTTAAGAATAAAAAAATCATCACACTTGAGATGGGGTGGGTAGGCGGGGTTTATATTTTGCGTTTTTTTATTGTAAAGAAATAAGTACTTTGCAGTCAAGTTCCGCCCCCTTGGTTCACGACGTATTAAAAAAAATCATTACAATTGAGACAGGGCGGGTGGGCGGGCTTACATTTTGCATTTTCGTTTTAATATGGGTAGACTTCTGTTGTGTAAGGAAATATCGATTTTGCAATGAGCCTAAAATTACCATTTTAACCACGTTCTAAGTTTCTTGTGAAAAAATGGCCATGAATATTAAGAAAAAAAAAGGCAAAATAGAAGCCCCGCCCACCCGCCCTGTCTCGATTCTGACGATTTTTTTATTCGTCTTAAGCAGAGGGGTGGAGATTAATTGTAAAATCCTTATTTTTCACGAGAAATTACCATGTGAAATATGTTATTAACTAATCGTGTTATACAAAGGAAACTAAAATGTATTAATTAAAAAAGAAAGCCAAAAGAGAAGCCCCACCCATCTGTCTCAATCTCAATCGTGATCAATTTTTCATTCGTTGTCAGACCGAAGGGCGGAGCCTAATTACAAAATCGATATTTCCCTATACAAATTTACCATTTTAAACATCTTTTAAGTTTCTTGTTGTGAAAAGATGACTACACATATTAAGAAAAAAGGCAAAATACAAGCCCCGCTCACCCTCCCTGTCTCAATTGTGATGTTTTTTTTTAAACATCGAGAGCCAAAAGGGCGCAATTTAATTGCAAAAACCCTTATTTTTTCCCTACAAGAAGTTACCATGTGAGACGTGTTTTTGAGTATTGTCGTATTTAAAGAACACTATGTATATTAAAAAAAAAAAAATTAAAACCAAAGATTAAGTCCCACCCATGGTAATCTAATTAGTAATGAAGTTTTCTTTCGTTGGCAAACCTAGGGGCGGAGCCTAATTGCAAAATACATATTTCCCTACAAAAATTTACCATTTTGAACGTATTTTAAGTTTCTAAGAATAAGAAAATTATCACACTTGACATGGGGTGGGTGGGCGGGGTTTATATTTTGCCTTTATTTCTTAATATATTTAGTATTCTTTGAACAACACAATAGTCAAAAACATGTTTTTAATTTCTTGTCAAGAAATAAATATTTGCAGTTAAGCTCCGCCCTCCTTGTTCTAGGCGAATAAAAAAATCATCACAGTTGAGACCGGGCGGGTGGGCGGGCTTACATTTTGCCTTTTTGTTTTAATATGTTTTAATATGTGTAGACTTCTATTCACAACAAGAAACTTAAAATATGTTTGCTCCTCCCCATAATTGCCAAATCCATATTTTCTTGTAAAAATGTATCATTTTAACCATGTTTTAAGTTTCTTGTTGTGAAAAGATGGCTACCTTATGTATATTAAGAAAAAAAAGACAAAATAGGAGCCCCACCCACCCGCCCTGTCTCGACTGTAATGATTTTTTTATTCGTCGTAAGCCGAAGGGCGGAGATTAATTGTAAAATCCTTATTTTTCACGAGAAATTACCATGTGAAATATGTTATTAACTAATCGTGTTATACAAAGGAAACTAAAATGTAGTAATTAAAAAAGAAAGCCAAAAGAGAAAAGAGAAGCTCCACCCATTCGTCTCGATCTCAGTCGTGATGAATTTTTCATTCGTTCCAGATTGAGGGGCGGAGCGTATTTGCAAAATCGATATTTCCCTATACAAATTTACCATTTTAAACATGTTTTAAGTGTCTTGTTGTGAAAAGATGACTACACGTATTAAGAAAGAAGGGCAAAATATAAGCTCCGCCCACCCGCCCTATCTCAATTGTGATGTTTTTTTTTTAACCATCGAGAGCCGAAAGAGCGGAATTTAATTTAATTGCAAAACCCCTTATTTTTTCTCTACAAGAAACTACCATGTGAGACATGTTTTTGAGAATATTAGGTACCTATTTAAGCAAAAATTAAAGCCAAAGATTAAGTCCCACCCATAGTCATCTAAATAGTAATGAAGTTTTCTTTCGTTGGCAGACCTAGGGGTGGAGCCTAATTGCAAAATCCATATTTCCTTGCAAAAATTTACCATTTTAAACGTGTTTTAAGTTCTTAAGAATAAAAAAATCATCACAATTGAGATGGGGTGGATGGGCGGGGTTTATATTTTGCTCTTTTTTTAATGTACATAGTATTCTTTAAACAACACAATACTCAAAAACATGTTTTTAATTCCTTGTAAAGAAATAAGAATTCTGCAGTTAAGCTCCACCCTCTTGGCTCACGGCGAACAAAAAATTCTTTACAATCGAGATAGGGTGGGTGGGCGGGCTGACATTTTGCCTTTTTGTTTTTATATGTTTTCATGTGTAGACTTGTTTTCACAACAAGAAACTTAAAACATGTTTGCTCCGTCCCATAATTGCCAAATCCATGTTTCCTTGGAAAAATGTATCATTTTCTTCATGTTTTAAGTTTCTTGTTGTGAAAAGATGGCTATGTATATTAAGAAAAAAAAGGCAAAATATAAGCCCCGCCCGCCCACCCTGTCTCGATTCTGACGATTTTTTTATTCGTCTTAAGCAGTGGGGCGGAGATTAATTGTAAAATCCTTATTTTTCACGAGAAATTACCATGTGAAATATGTTATTAACTAATCGTGTTATACAAAGGAAACTAAAATGTATTAATTAAAAAAGAAAGCCAAAAGAGAAGCCCCACCCATCTGTCTCAATCTCAATCGTGATCAATTTTTCATTCGTTGTCAGACCGAGGGGCGTAGCCTAATTACAAAATCGATATTTCCCTATACAAATTTACCATTTTAAACGTGTTTTAAGTGTCTTATTGTGAAAAGATGACTACACATATTAAGAAAGAAAGGCAAAATTTAAGCCCCGCCCACCCTCCCTGTCTCAATTATGATGTTTTTTTTTAAACATCGAGAGCCAAAAGGGCGGAATTTAATTGCAAAAACCCTTATTTTTTCCTACAAGAAGTTACCATGTGAGACGTGTTTTTGAGTATTGTCGTATTTAAAGAACACTATGTATATTAAAAAAAAATTAAAGCCAAAGATTAAGTCCCACCCATAGTAATCTAATTAGTAATGAAGTTTTCTTTCGTTGGCAAACCTAGGGACGGAGCCTAATTGCAAAATACATATTTCCCTACAAAAATTTACCATTTTGAACGTATTTTAAGTTTCTAAGAATAAGAAAATCATCACACTTGACATGGGGTGGGTGGGCGGGGTTTATATTTTGCTCTTTTTTTGTGCATAGTATTCTTTAAACAACACAATACTCAAAAACATGTTTTTAATTCTTTGTAAAGAAATAAGAATTCTGCAGTTAAGCTCCACCCTCTTGGCTCACGGCGAACAAAAAATTCTTTAGAATCGAGACAGGGTGGGTGGGCGGGCTTACATTTTGCCTTTTTGTTTTAATATATTTTAATATGTGTAGACTTGTTTTCACAACAAGAAACTTAAAACATGTTTGCTCCGTCCCATAATAATTGCCAAATCCATGTTTCCTTGGAAAAATGTATCATTTTAACCATCTTTTAAGTTTCTTGTTGTGAAAAGATGGCTATGTATATTAAGAAAAAAAAAAAGACAAGATAGAAGCCCCGCCCGCCCACCCTGTCTCGATTCTGACGATTTTTTTATTCCTCTTAAGCCGAGGGCCGGAGATCAATTGTAAAATCCTTATTTTTCACGAGAAATTACCATGTGAAATATGTTATTAACTAATCGTGTTATACAAAGGAAACTAAAATGTAGTAATTAAAAAAGAAAGCCAAAAGAGAAGCTCCACCCATTCGTCTCGATCTCAGTCGTGATGAATTTTTCATTCGTTCCAGATTGAGGGGCGGAGCGTAATTGCAAAACCGATATTTCCCTATACAAATTTACCACTTTAAACATGTTTTAAGTGTCTTGTTGTGAAAAGATGACTACACATATTAAGAAAGAGAGGCAAAATATAAGCCCCGCCCACCCGCCCTATCTCAATTGTGATGTTTTTTTTTAACCATCGAGAGCCGAAAGAGCGGAATTTAATTTAATTGCAAAACCCCTTATTTTTTCTCTGCAAGAAGTTACCATGTGAGACATGTTTTTGAGTATCGTCGTATTTAAAGAACACTACGTATTTAAAAAAAAAAATTAAAGCCAAAGATTAAGTTCCACCCATAGTAATCTAATTAGTAATGAAGTTTTCTTTCGTTGGCAAACCTAGAGGCGGAGCCTAATTGCAAAATACATATTTCCCTACAAAAATTTACCATTTTAAACGTGTTTCAAGCTCTTAAGAATAAAAAAATCATCACAATTGAGATGGGGTGGGTGGGCGGGGTTTATATTTTGCTCTTTTTTTAATGTACATAGTATTCTTTAAACAACACAATACTCAAAAACATGTTTTTAATTCCTTGTAAAAAAATAAGAATTCTGCAGTTAAGCTCCACCCTCTTGGCTCACGGCGAACAAAAAATTCTTTACAATCGAGACAGGGTGGGCGGGCGGGCTTACATTTTGCCTTTTTGTTTTAATATTTGTAGACTTCTGTTCACAACAAGAAACTTAAAACATGCTTGCTCTTCTCCATAATTGCCAAATCTATATTTCCTTGGAAAAATGTATCATTTTAACCATGTTTTCAGTTTCTTGTTGTGAAAAGATGGCTATGTATATTAAGGGAAAAAAAGACAAGATAGAAGCCCCGCCCACCCGCCCTGTCTCGATTCTGATGATTTTTTTATTCCTCTTAAGCCGAGGGCCGGAGATCAATTGTAAAATCCTTATTTTTCACGAGAAATTACCATGTGAAATATGTTCTTAACTAATCGTGTTATACAAAGGAAACTAAAATGTATTAATTAAAAAAGAAAGTCAAATAATAGTTGCTATGAAATGTGTGTTGCCTACCCTACACACATAAAATTTTCTAACCTCACAAAAGCACTAGACCTACTTTCGCTCTTTTACATCATTTATCTATATAAACAAGCAAACACGTTAATAAGTTCGATAATTTAACTAAACTAAAAATCGGTTTTGGAGTCTTGATTCTGAGCAAATTTCTAAATACGAAGATTAAATTTTTAACTAGAGTACGAAGAGGTGTAAGGTAAGAAAAGAAATAAGTCAATAAATAAGTCGATGATTTATGATTTTAGGGACCCTAAAATGTCGATTCTGGAATACTCTGACAAGTTCGCTAAAGTGAAATCACCTTCAGAAAATGCCCACACTTGTGAAGTTTGTCCCTACTTTACCACATCATTTTTTTCACTGGTAAACCACGTCAAACGTCACGATTCATCGTCCTTACATTTTGACTGTGAATCAGCCGACGTTGAAACATTTTCTTGCAAGGACTGCGGTTTCCAAACAAAGCTAACATTCCTTTTCAAACAACACATTGAAAAACACAGTCACAGTGAAGAAAAAGAATACAGCATCAAAAATTATTATTGTAACAAGTGCAGCTGTGAAACTCATTCAGTGTTGACATACTTTCAACACATGAAAGCACATCTTACAAATGACAGTTTTCACACACCAAATACAAGCAACTTTTTCAAGTATAATTGCAACCAATGCGAGTACAAGTGTAAACGAAAAACGTCTTTAAAAATGCACACAGTGTCAAAACATATGAATGATGACGAAATAACGTGGTATTACTGCGCAAAGTGTCCGTATAAAGGTAAACAAAAGCGGTCGTTGAATGAACACACCACTAGACAACACTCAGATGAACAAAATATTAAATGGTTTGACTGTGGAAAGTGTCCGTACAAGAGCAAGTACCATTCCAATTTAATAAACCACGTAAATTCGCACCACTTGGATAAAGCTGACGTTAAATGGTACGAGTGTAATCAGTGTCCATATAAAGCCAAACACCATGCCAATTTAATCCGGCACGTAAACGAGCGTCATTTGGATGAACAAGAGATTAAATGGTACGAATGCGAAAAGTGCCCATACAAAGCTAAACGAAGTTCCCATTTGAGGAATCACATAATTGGGCACCATTTCGACGTGCAGGATGTTAAGTGGTACAGATGTGATCAATGTCCATATAAGGCTATTCGCAGCGACAGTTTAAAACGGCACCTGAAGGTAAACCATTTAAAAGAGGAGGACATTGAATGGTTCAAATGTGAGCAGTGTTCATACAAAGCCAAGTATAAGTCGTCTTTAAGCAGACATGTCAGCACGCAACATGAAAAAATTATGAAGTGGTTCGAATGCCACAAATGTTCGTTCAAAACTAAGCGTAAGTCGTCGCTAAACAGACACGTGAGCACCCTCCACGTGGATTAAAACGCTTGTTGGTTTTATTTTTTTAATAAATGTTTTCAAAATCAGTTGAAATGTGTGTTGCCTATCCTTAAATTTTGTCCCCAAATGGCCGACTATATAGGGACTTTTGGCGAAAATTACTAGATTTGACATTATTTTCTACCAAAAATGGCGGTTAGTTTGTTTACTTCGAGTACCTGATCCCAATCATGTGTGTTTTTGAGGTTATGTTGGATAATAAAATTTAATTTTTTCAACATTTTCGACAAACATTGTAACACATATAATAATACAGAAACGACACGGACTAGTAGGTAAGAAAAGGACAATTTATTTCATAAAACAATTTTTTGCACGAATTTAGGTAAACGCAAATGTCGATCCTGGAATACTCTGAGAAGTTGGCACGTGTGAAATCCGAGTCCAACAATATCCACAATTGTAAAGTGTGCCCATACTTTACAACCTCATTTTTCTTGATGGTGAATCACGTTAAACGCCACCGGTCATCGTTGATTCGTTTCAACTGTGAAATTGCCAAAGTTGAGACTTACCACTGCAAGGACTGCAACTTCCAAACAGACTTAATACTTATTTTCAAACAGCACATTCAGCAATTTCATAGAAACAAACAAGAGCACGAAAAACAATTTTCAGAAGATTACACAGTTCAAAGTTATGTTTGTGAAAAGTGCAACTTTGAAACACACTTTGTGTTTAAATGGCTGCAACACACTACAGTCTGTTTGGAAAATAAAGACACAGATGTTTTCCCATGGTTCAGCTGTGACCACTGTGACTACAAATGCAAGAAAAAGTATTCAATAAAAGACCACATCATTTCAAGACACTTGCACATAGACCAGATTTCTTGGCACCGGTGTGGAGATTGTGACTACAAATCCAAGTTCAAGTCACGCTTAAAACGTCACATAAATGGCCAGCATTCAAAAGGCCAAGATATTAAATGGTACAAATGCAAAGTGTGTCCATACAAAAGCAAATATAATTCCACTTTAATGATGCACGTTAATGCACGTCATTTGAAGATAGAAGATATTAAATGGTATGAATGCACCAAATGCTCCTACAGAACAAAATATAACCACCATTTAAAAATGCACTTTAACGCTCTTCATTCAAAGGAACAAGATATTAAATGGCACGAATGCCAGAAGTGCTCATACAAAGCCAAATATAAATCAACGTTAAGCAGACACATGAAGGCGCGTCATTTAAATCAAGAACACATTAAATGGTACGAATGCAAAAAGTGTTCCTACAAAACCAAAGAAAATTCACACTTGAAAAGACACATAAAAGCGCATCATTTAGATGAAAACGAAATCGTGTGGTATCGGTGCAAAGATTGCCCGTATAAGTCTAAGCAAAATTATCATTTGAATAGACACATACGGGTGCACCATTTAGATGCACGAGATATTAAATGGTACGAATGTGAACATTGTCCATACAAAGTTAAAGAACGGTACAGTTTGCAAAGACACGTAAACTGGCACCATTCAGAAGAGCAAGATGTTAAATGGTATGAATGCGTAAAGTGCCATTTTAAAACTAGAGACAGTTCGAGTTTAAACCAACATGTGAAGAGACACTCAAGACGGACGAACACGTGATATTTTTGTGTTTTTCTTAGAGAGAAGTATTAAGTAGGATTTTTTGTGTAACTTGTAACTATTAAACAACATTTAAAGTTTTTAGACACTGGATTTTTGTTCTATATGTCGCTCAATATAAGTTTATGCGTTTATGGGATGTTATTAATTCATCTGTCATAAGTATTGTGTGTTGCCTACTTTAGGTGCATTAGATATTAAATAAAAATATATCTGAAAACTAGAACTATTTTCCACCAGTGTAGTTCATGTTAGAAAGTACACATCAATTTTAGTCAACAATTGTTTAATTAAAATGAACACAAAATTGCTTTAGACAAGAAAATGCAATTTTGAGGTTATGTGCATCTGTGGTTGCAAAAGTTGATTCAGGTTTGTTTTAACACTGAAACGTCTAAACCAATTAATTGTAAAATTTTAGGTAAATACCCCCCACTAATTATTCGACTATATTTTTGAATCCGTGCCTGTATTTCAGATAAATTAAAATGTCGTTTTTGGAATCCTCTAAAACATCTGGAATTTCGAAAAATCTGGACAGTTCTCACGGTTGTGATTTTTGCCCATACTCCACAACCTCGTTTTGTCTTATGAAAGACCACGTCAGACGCTATCATGTATTATCGCCACCGTTTAACTGTGAACACACCAATCTTGAATGTTACAAGTGCAAGAACTGCCACTTCCAGACAGAATTGCTCCTTCTTTTCAAACAACATGTTGATCAATGCGGTAGTTTCAAAAAAGAAAAGGAAGACAATTTTTCATGTGAAGAATACACCATACAAAACTATATTTGCGAAGAGTGTAATTTTGAAACACATTTTGTGGTTAAATGGATTCAACACATTGCATTTTGTTTAAAAAACATGGGAAAACCGCCAACAATAAGTGAAACTGGTGACAAAAGTGCGTCTGTGTGGTATAGCTGTGATCAGTGTGAACTCAAGTATAAATGTAAAAGATCTTTAAACATACACAAAATTTCAAAACACTTGAGTGACAATGAAATACTTTGGTATTACTGTGCAGAGTGTTCATATAGAGCCAAGCTAAAGGGTAATTTAAAGTTTCATATAAACATGCGGCACATGCATGAAGATGCTGTTAAATGGTACCAATGCCAAAAGTGTCCATATAAAACTAGAAAAGCTTTCAATTTACAAAAACACCAACCTGTGCATCATAAAATACAAAGTATTAAATGGCATGAATGCCAAAACTGCTCATTTAAAACCAAGTTTAAGACAGTTTTAAATAGACACATAAACGCTGACCACCCAGAAAAAACGACTTTAAAGTGGTATGAATGCAAAAAATGTGCATTTAAAAGTAAATACAGCGGCAGTTTAAAAAGTCACACAAGTGTGCACCATTCAGATAAAAAGGATGTTAAATGGTATGAGTGCAAACTTTGCTCATACCGAACCATATATGCAACGTCACTACGGAATCACAACACTGCGCACCATGTGGACGATAAGGATATTAAATGGTATGAGTGCAAAACATGCCAATTTAAAAGTAAACGCAAAGGGGTTCTAAAGCAGCACGTAGAAACACTTCACTCAAATGAAGCGAACACAAAATGGCACGAGTGCAGTAAATGCGGATTCAAAACTAAATACAAATCGAATTTAGTGGTACACATAAATGCTCACCACTTGGATGCACAAGATATTAAATGGCACGAATGCGAAAAGTGCCCATACAAAGCTAAACTTAAATCTAGCTTAAAAAGTCACGTGAATGTTTGGCACTTGGATGACGAAAACGCTAAATGGCATGAATGCGAATTGTGCCCGTACAAAGCTAAACATAAATCTAGCTTGAAACTGCACGTGAATGTTCGGCACTTGGATGAACAGAATGCCAAATGGTATGAATGCGAAAAATGTCCTTATAAAGCTAAACGTAGAGCGTTGTTAAATCAACACGTAAACGTGCACCATTTAGACAAAAAAGATGTTAAATGGTACGAGTGCAAACTTTGTCCATTTAGAACCTTATATAGAACGTCATTACGGAATCACAACAAAGCGCGCCATTTGGGCAATAAGGACGTTAAATGGTACGAATGCGAAGACTGTGCATACAAGTGTAAGCGAAAATCGGCTCTAAAGAAGCACTGCAGTAAATGTGAATTCAGAACTAAACGTATTTAGATCGAATTTAATTACACACGTAAATGGACACCATTAATTTTACGCATTGCTAAAAATATTAATAAAAATGTAAATAAATTAATAAATATTTATAGAAACTGTAATGATTTTCGTTCTATGGGTGCTTTCACTGTACATTGTATCGTCGGTTGCTTACATACAAAAAATAAAACAAATTGGAACGACCGTTCAAATAAAAACGACGTCAAGCTGGCTTTGGAAATGTGAACGTAGGGCTTGGTGACTGTGAGGTTATGTTAAATGTCATTAAATAGAAGATGTTGGACCACCGATTAACAGAATTAAAAACATTTTGTAACAATGGGATTGTTCTTGATTTCGTTGACGTTCTCTATAATTCGTGCTTGAAGGTGATCGAAATCATTCATTTGGACCTGAAAAATTGTTTTTTTTTTTTGTTTAACAACAATTAATCGTAATGACTACGACGCCATAGTTTCCCCAACACGTGTAGCTAAATTTGTTTTATTGTTTGTAAATTCACAGTTCATGTTAGGATTTTAATCGTTACTGGTTCGAACACAATTTAACAGTCATAAGATTGTCCAGATAAAGTACTTGTTAGAAGATTTCTTGAGATTCACTTAGTTAGACTTTTAGTCCTTTGTTTATTAAGTTATAAATATGGTTTTCGAATGTTTATACTTTTAAGTGTTACATTGTAATACTTCATAATTCCTCACACATAATTGTTAATAGTTTATTTATGGCAATTAATCAATCTAACGTTGTCCCACTCTGGGAAAAGGACCGTGAAAGTATGGTAGAAATCATAATATCGTGGACTGAGGTACGGGGGATTATAAATTTTTACCTTTAGGCAGTTATCATCGTTATTATCATCATCACATCACCGAGACATATTTGCTCCCAGCGCTGGACGAATTTTGTATTTATTCATCATGGCATAATTTAACATAATGTAAACTCTTTGTTTGAATCGTTGATAAAGTGTGGCATAATTTAACATCGCGTAAATTCTTTGTTCTGGCAGAGGCCATGTTGAAAGAGTATTTCCAAACCGAGCACATGTTTGAACTGTTAAATCTGGTTGAACAAATTAAGAACATTGTGGATCATACGGAATGTATATTTTATTCTTTTGATTTAGACCATTATTTGCACAGCGCCACACGATTGATTACATTGAACGTAAATTTCATGCTGTGCAGTTTCTAACCTCACGTATTTTTTTTGTCTGCACCAGTTTTAGTTCACACCAGATCTTTTTGTTTTTATGAATGTTTGCTAGTTTTTATAGTTTTGTAAATATTTTGTTGATTTATGTTTCCATCACATAATAACTTGTCTAATGTCCAATCTTAATCTCAGATAAGAATTGTTTGCTGTTTAAATTTCGCGGAAGTGTATGGTGAGTTTAAATGTTGTTTATTGTTCTTTTGAAACTTTAACACTTGTTCGATTGTAGTTTAATATCAGAGTCATAAGAATTGAACATTTAAATGGAATTGAGGTAAATAATACAGAAACACGTGGCGAAAGCGGAGTGTGCGGTTCCTTGTCGAGCACAAAAGACGCAGATCTAGAATACAAGTCAGGGAAGCGGTCGGTATGACGTGACGCTATCAACTTATTTGTAGCCGTGAGTTCCAACCACGAGTTTGCGACCGTAACGGCCTGTTGGTGCGGCACGTTTCTTCGTTAGATAGAGGGGTGCTGGGCGGCATGTGCTTGCCGATAAGAAAATCACCGTCGTGGGGGGAGAACAGCCACAACCAGGAGCCCCAAACTCCGCTCGTGCTACAACACCACCTATGGGTATTTTTACTGTGCTCTAAAATGAAATTGTGATTTCAAAATTTCTTATCGGCTACGTGTAAATGTATCGTAAATATTAGTCCACCGATAATTACCTGAGGACCCAAATCTTTTAATCTTTAATAAAAAGGATGTTTCTAAATACTTAGAAGGGGGCACAAGATAATGTAAACTTAAAAGTCTGTCTTTAATTGCCTCTTACTTGGCGTTGTGTCTTACAGATTAAATTTAGAAAAGCTTAGAGTGTGGACACTCTCATAAACTTTTATTGTCGGATTATGAGGGGTTTAAAAGGACGGATTACCTATTATAAATTTGAGTGGACCAGAAAAATGGCTAAAGTTTGTTTGACCTAGAATTTTAAATATTCTGCCCTTGTTTATTTAATTATTTATTAAGATATTTTACTTCTGTAAAGCGCAATGGATTATTTAATACAATTTCTACTAATGTACTTTTTTGAAAATTTAAAATTGACTCATAAATAGCAAAAACCAGATAATCTCATACTCATTACAATTTTAACGCGCGAAAAGCAGTCTGGACAGGGTTTTTTACGCTCATTTCAACGGTGTGAAGTTTATTACAATCGGAACTATACTTTTGGCAAAAACTATGCTGGAATATACTTTAGCTCACCCTTAAAATGATGAAGAGCTTATGTATATTATGGTTACCTTGTTTCTTAACAAATTCTGTGCTAAACTCGTTTTAGATTTTAACTCCGTACTGGGGGACGAACCAGGTATAATAATCCCAGCAGGTCAGGTAAACGATTCGTAGAGAAAATCAAAACAATATTTTTGAGTATTTGGATTAAAAGTAATTGTAAAAGTGGCTGAATTACTCAAAAAAAATTGTAGTCAATATCTTTGATTATGACTTGATGACTTTCATGAGTCAGCTGTATTATGTGTTGCCTACTTTAGGTGCTTTAAATACTAAATGAAAATGTATCTGAAAACCAGAACTGTTTTCCACCGATTTTCATGTTAGAATGTACACATCAATTTTAATCAACAATTATTTAATTAAAATGAACACACTTGCATTAGACAAGAAATTTCAATTTTGAGGTTATGTGCATCTGTGGTTGCAAAAGTTGATTCAGGTTTGTTTTAACACTGAAACGTCTAAACCAATTAATTGTAAAATTTTAGGTAAATACCCCCCACTAATTATTCGACTATTCTTTTGAATCCGTGCCTGTATTTCAGATAAATTAAAATGTCGTTTTTGGAATCCTCTAAAACATCTGGAATTTCGAGAAATCTGGACAGTTCTCACGGTTGTGATTTTTGTGCGTACTCTACAACCTCGTTTTGTCTTATGAAAGGCCACGTCAGACGCTATCATGTATTATCGTCACCGTTTAACTGCGAACACACCAACCTCGAATGTTACAAGTGCAAGAACTGCCATTTCCAGACAGAATTGCTACTTCTTTTCAAACAACATGTTAATCAATGTGGTAGTTTTAAGAAAGAAAAGGAAGACAATTTTACGTGTGAAGAATACACCATACAAAACTATATTTGTGAAGAGTGTAATTTTGAAACACATTTTGTGGTTAAATGGATTCAACATATTGCATTTTGTTTAAAAAACGTGGGAAAGCCTCCAACAGTAAGTGAAAATGTTGATAAAAGTTTGTCTGTGTGGTATAGCTGTGATCAGTGTGAACTCAAGTATAAATGTAAAAGATCTTTAAACATGCACAAAATTTCAAAACACTTGAGTGACAATGAAATACTTTGGTATTACTGTGCAGAGTGTTCATATAGAGCCAAGCTAAAGGGTAATTTAAAGTTTCATATAAACATGCGGCACATGCATGAAGATGCCGTTAAATGGTACCAATGCCAAAAGTGTCCATATAAAACTAGAAAAGCTTTCAATTTACAAAAACACCAACCTGTGCATCACAAAATACAAAATATTAAATGGCATGAATGCCAAAACTGCTCATTTAAAACCAGGTTTAAGTCAGTTTTAAATAGCCACATAAATGCTGACCATCCAGAAAAAACGAGCTTTAAGTGGTATGAATGCAAACAATGTACATTTAAAAGTAAATACAGGTGTAGTTTAAAAAGTCACACAAATTCACACCATTCAGAAGTACAAGATATTAAATGGTATGAATGCCAAAAGTGCGCATATAAAACTAAATATAAAGCTAGTTTAAAAAGTCACGTGAATGTTCGCCACTTAGATGAACAAAATGCCAAATGGTATGAATGCAAAAAATGTCCTTACAAAGCTAAACTTAGAGAATTATTATACCAACACATAAACGCGCACCATTCAGACAAAAACGATGTTAAATGGTACGAGTGCAAACTTTGTTCATACCGAACGATATATAGAACGTCATTACGGAATCACAACAATTCGCACCATCTGGACGATAAAGATATTAAATGGTATGAGTGCAAAATATGCCAATTTAAGAGTAAACGAAAAGGGGATCTAAAGCAGCACGTAGACACGCTTCATTCAAACGAAGCCAATACAAAATGGCACGAGTGCAGTAAATGCGAATTCAAAACTAAATACAAATCTAGTTTAATGGCACACATAAATGCGCACCACTTAGATGCACAAGATATTAAATGGTATGAGTGCGAAAAGTGCCCATACAAAGCTAAACTTAAATCTAGCTTAAAAAGTCACGTGAATGTTTGGCACTTGGATGACGAAAACGCTAAATGGCATGAATGCGATTTGTGCCCGTACAAAGCTAAACATAAATCTAGCTTGAAACTTCACGTGAATGTTCGGCACTTGGATGAACAAAATGCCAAATGGTATGAATGCGAAAAATGTCCATATAGAGCTAAACGTAGAGCGTTGTTAAACCAACACGTAAACGCGCACCATTTGGATAAAAAAGATGTTAAATGGTATGAGTGCAAGCTTTGTCCATACAGAACGGTGTATAGAGGGTCGTTACGATATCACAACAATGCGCGCCATTTGGACGATAAGGACGTTAAATGGCACGAATGCGAAGAGTGTACATACAAGTGTAAGCGAAAATGGGTTCTAAAGCAGCACATTGACGCGATTCACTCGAATAGAGAGAACACTAAATGGTATGAGTGCAGTAAATGTGAATTCAAAACTAAATATAGATCGAATTTAATTACACACGTAAATGGACGCCATTAGGATAGTGTATTTACTGTAATTGTTAAAAATATTAATAAAAATGTAAACAAATTAACAAAATATTTATTGAAACTGTAATGATATGTGGTGAAACCAGCAATCGTTCTAGGGATATTCTCACTTTACATTGTATCGTCGGTTGAATTTGTTTAAATTAACAACCAACTCTCACTCAATCTTGATATACTCTAGGCAATAGGAACTCGATGTTGTTTCACCGTTTGGTGACGGTAGCGGTGTGGGGGTGCCCGATGATGCCCCAATTGACTGAATAACGATTCTTGGGGGCGACGAACTTGCCGGGGCAGCAAGAGCCACATCTTCTTCATCCACAATGCGAGCGACAGCGTGACGAATTTCGCTTTTCAGTTTTCTTTTATAAAAATCAGACCGTAAACCTTTTAATTCCATTGCCACATATTGAATGAAACGATCGTCCGCGTCTGAGGCTTCCGGCACAGTTGGCGGGGTTCGTTTGAGCAATGGGTCGTCTTCGATATCTTTTTTTTTTCTTTTCTGTCGCTGACTAATCGTTTTTCGTTTTTGCTTCTTCGGAGATTCTTCTTTGTCGATGCCTTGTTTATCAACATCATCATGTGACACTTGTTCTTCAGATGGTGTATCTGCCTTAAAAAAGTCAAAATACAAGTTATTACTTAATTTTTGGGTTGCATTTTGAATTTACTCGGGACCATTCTGTATAAATTATACAATTTTATTATTCCTTACCACGTCAACTATTTCCTTCGATAATGTTTTTGAAGATCGTCTGCAATTTGCAGTCAAGGCAGGTATCAGGAATTCTAGGACTGTGAAAAATGGCCACTTACTAACACAACTGTCATCGGTGGCACCCCTGCTACGTCTAATGCGAGTTTTATTTAATTCTTGGCAGAGCTAGAATTCAGTGGTTATTATTACTCCAATGTTTTTGGTTAAAAATCTACCGGGTGTTCGATTTTAACATCCCATTTATTTTGTATTAATGTCTTTAATTAAATATAAATACTTCAAGTACTTTTGCCTCAAAAAGTTAAATGCGGGCAGTAATATCTAACCTAAAAAGTGATTTCATGTCGTCTTTCGTGTTAATTTTTGCTATTTCAACTTTCAGTGAAAATTGTGACACCCGGTATAGTTATTACCTGGTTTCTTAAATTGTGTATTTTCCTTTGCACTTCTTCCACAACACAGTTGAAGTTTACGGCCAGTTCCTTCCACGCTCGATTTTTTAACTCTCGATTTTTGTGTTGTATGTTTGTCGTATCCCACAGAATCGACGTTTCTTTGTACTTTGCGATGAGGTTGGCTGTTTGGTCTTTCGACCACTCAATCCTTGACATTGTGAACGGTTCCGCTTATTTTCAGAGAGCACTGTCCACTTTGAAACTTATCGAGAGTCACTTTCTCATAGACACAGTTTGACGTGCTCACTTGAGAGCAGGCCTGGACACACTCGCTCGCCGCGATGGCAACCGAATCTTCCACGTGTTGTTTTCACAAGTGTATCGATTGGACAGAAAACGAGAAAACCTCTCGAGAGCTGATCTCGAGAGTATTTCTCTCAAGTGGACACGTGACATGCGGATACAAGGTTGTTCATGTCAACAGGAAAATCACTCATCGGATATAATCACTGTCTATGTAAAACAAATCAAATTTTACTTAATTTCGTCCATTAACACAGATTCAAAATATGTTTTAGTTTGTGATGGTAAGTGGCAGAAAAGACTGTAAAGATGGTGGTAAATGGTGTCTTAAAGTCAGTTTGAAATGATTTTGTCGGACATACATAACCTCAATTTTTTAATGCCAATAAAACTAGAAAGTGTTGATAGGCAACACACTTTACACAAATTTATTAAAAACGAAAGCAATATTAACAGCAACTTAACATAAATTACAGCCAATTGTATTTTAATTCTAATTAGAATCCTTATTTATATGTGCCTCTTTCCATGTCTTTTCAAATTCGACTTGTCCTTAGTTTTATACGGACACTCCTTACATTCATGCCACACAACAACCCGTTCCGCTTTATCTGCATGCCGTGCTTTTATATGTCGGGTGAAATTCGACTTTTCTTTAGTTTTGAACGGGCATTTTTGGCACTCGTGCCACTTAACATTCCAATTCTCCCTACCCAAATGGCGCCTCTTCACGTGTTCATTCAAAGTCGATTTATTTTTGGTTTTGAAGTCGCAGTATTTGCATTCATACCATTTAATGTCTTTCTCATCCAGGTGGCGCGCATTTACGTGATCTTTTAAAGACGAACTCAGTTTGGTTTTAAAGGGGCAGCAGTCGCATTCGTACCATTTAACTTCCTGTGCTTCCAAATGTTTCACATTTATGTGTCTTCTTAAGCTAGTACTGTGAATAGATTTGTATGCACACTTTTTGCATTCATACCATTTAACGTTTTCTTTGACTAGATGGCGCACGAACGAGTGTTTTTTTAAAGATAATTCGTACTTAGTTTTAAATAGGCACTTGTCGCATTCGTACCATTTAATGTCGTCCAAGTGGTTTATTTTTATGTGGCGGGTTAACTCAGAACCTCGCTTTGATTTATATGGACACTTTGCACATTTACACCATTTGATGTCTTTTTCGTCTACGTGGTTTACAATTACGTGTCTTTTTAAATATGCTCTGTGTTTAGCTTTGTATGGACATTGGGCACATTGATGCCACAATATTTCGTCGTCTTTTGAGTGATTTGAGATTTTGTGCATCTTTAAAGCCTGTTTACTCCTGTATTTGTGGTCACATTGATCACACTTATATCCGGTCAAGATACTAATTTTGGTGGTTGTATTAGGACATACTATTATGTGCTGAAGCCACTTAAGTGAGAAATGTGTCTCAAAGTTGCATTTTTTACACCTATACTTCCGTAGATCATATTTCCAATTTAGTACATCATTTTCTGTATCAAGCTGATGATATTGTTGTACATGTTGGTTGAAAAATAGCGTTAGTGTTGTTTGAAAATTGCAAACTTGGCAGTAGTAAGTTTCAACGTTGCAATTTTCGCAATTAAAGAGCTGTAGTGGTTGCCGGTGGCGTCTGATGTGGTTCCTCTTCAGAAAAATGGATGTTGTGAAATATGAACAAACTTTACAGTTGTGGAGATCCACATTCCGCATTTTAGTGATCCTAATTTTGTTGACCATAACCTCAAAATATAAATTTGATTCTTGACATGGAACTGGTGCACCTAAAATTTTAATTAATTTTTATTTTGTCAATGAAACCCTGCTTACACCTTCTCTTACCAAAAATTGCATAAAAGTGAGTTTGAATGTACCAAAATGTTTGTTTTTGTTGTCACGACAAGTGTGGTCTGCACCTTGCACGACATAGTTGTATAACGGGTTGCCTAAAACACACTTACCAACTGTTAAACTTGCATCATTTTTCAATTTTCCCCTAGATTGACATAACCACAAATAAAAAGTCACCAAGACCAGATACCTTTCATGGTTTTATAATTATATTAAACGCGTAAGTAAGTACTTATTTAAATAAAACAGTAATATTTTAGACAAAAATCTCTTCTGGAACAGTTTTCGTTCCTTTTGATGACCCAACTAAGACATCACCCATCACTGCTTTTCAACTGTGAACACTCCAACGTTGAAACTTACTGCTGCAAAGACTGCGATTTCGAAACAAAACTAACACTACTTTTCAAACGACACATCCAGCATCACATTTTTAAAAAAGAAAGTGAACAAATTCATTCAAGAGAGAAAAACGCCGCTCAAAGCTATATTTGCAAAAAATGCAACTTTGAAACTCATTTCTCCCTGAAGTGGTTTCAGCACACTACAGAATGTGTAAATTCCCAAACAGTTTTCACGTGGCATGAATGTGATCAATGTGACCGCAAATACAAACACAGACCTTCACTACGAGAACACAAAATATTAAAACACTTGAATCAAAACCAAATCCGTTGGCATTATTGCACCCAGTGTCCGTATAAATCCGCGCACAAAAGACACCTCAAAACACACACATACTTGCGACATACCGACGAAGGAAAAATTAACTGGTATGAATGCAAAAAGTGCCCGTATAAATCCAAACGAAACGATAACCTAAAAAAGCACGTAAATGCACGTCATTTGGATGAAAAAGACGTTAAATGGTACGAATGCAGTCAGTGCCAATACAGAACTAAACAAAAGTATAATTTGATTAGACACGTGAACGCACAACATTTGGATGAACAAGATGTTAAATGGTACGAATGCGACAAGTGCCCATTTAGAACCAAGCACAAAGTTTGTGTGAGTCAACACATGAATGCGCGACATTTGGACGAGCAGGAAATTAAATGGTACGAATGCCAAAAGTGCCCATACAAGTCAAAACGGAACGATAATTTAAACAAGCACATAAATGCGCGACACTTGGATAAAGAGGACATTAAATGGTACGAGTGCAAGATTTGTCCATATAAAAATAAAGATAGATCGACGTTGGTTAGGCACGTGAATGCGTACCATATGGATGGGAAAAATGCCAAGTGGTATGAATGTAAACATTGTGTGGTCAAGTTTAAATATAAGTCGTCTTTGAACAGACACGTAAAAAGGGGCGTTTGCGTCAAACCAAACATGAAATAAGAAAATATAGTTTTTTCTAAATAAACTAGTCTTTTTTTGCACTCGTCACATTCGTGCCACTTAACATCCTCTCAAACCCCTTCATTAATTAATGAACGTTAAACGAATATTGTGTATTGTGTGTTGCCTATTTCACCCATTACAAGTAGGCAACACACAATGCACAACTATTTAAAATTGTATGAAAAATTAATATTGAAAATAACCGTGGTTCTGATCATTGCTATCTATGCGTCCATTATTATTTAAAAATAAAAATTAATCAAAGGTGTTAATGAAACGTAGAATGGGTTGTCGTGTACTTTTTGAATTGTGCGCGTCTAAATTTTAGGAAGTATGTCTGAACTGACTTCGTACGGAAGACGTTGACAGCTTGACTTGACACAACTAAATTGTGAGGTTATTATAGAAATTAACAAGCTCCTGTTGGTGTTATTTCAGTTATTATTGTTACCACCCTGCGTGTGTCTGCGTTATTTGTATATCACGGTTTTTGATTCTAGTTCTAGTAAGAAAAAAATGGTACGACAGTGTGTTGTTTGTGGCTCTCCTCAAACAAAATATAGCTCATATTCATTTCATCGGTAAGGAAGATTAAATTAAATTAATAAATGTATATAAAAATGGGACATTTTAATATTTATGTGCAATATAAAGGATTCCCACGGTTGAGAGCAAAAGGGCAAAATGGCTAAAGGCCTGTGGTCTTGAACACAAGTCCATATCAAAATATTCAGTCATTTGCAGTCAGCATTTTGCGGAAAATGATTATGATGAGCATCATAGCCCTAAACGGACATTACTTCCTTCCGCAGTTCCTTCATCTGTTCATGTGAAGCAAGAATTTCAATTCACTTTTATTAAAGTTGAAGATACACAAAACGCAGGTTTGTATATTATTGGCACTTGATTTATGATGTCTTTACAATTTATATTTTCATAGAATCAGAGATGTTAATTAAATGTGAATCTCATAATCCAATATCTGACTTCAACCTACCCCATGTATCAACTGATGTACAAAACCCAGGTTTGTAGCAAGTTCTGACTGATTCATATATAGTTATATTTGTGTATTATGTACATTTGCAGCACAACTGGAACCAGAAATTGCAGTACGTTATCCTGGAGATTTGCAAGTGAGTCATTTTGAAACACCTCGCAAAGCAAAAAGACATTTGGAATTCGTAATGGAAGTTATAGAAGGTCAAAGAAAAAAAATTCGGTTGTTGCATACACAGAATCAAAGACTCAACAAAAAAATTACTTCGTTTGCAACACTTGCAGCTGACTTGAAAGAAAAAAAGTTAATGTCTAATGAAGCACATGATGCTATTAAAGTGCATTTTAAATTGACATAATACAACTAACATGACTTTTGAATGGCAGTTACAAGCATTTTGTCACTTATCACTCATGTTATAAGACAGCACTTCAGCAGCAATACAAGAAATTTTAATCTAATATTTTCAAAAATGGTATTTTGCCATAAATAATATGTATATAAAAATAAACAGTGTTTTTTAAAATGTGTGTTTTTTTAATTCACAGTAGATAACTAATAATATCACATAAAATAAGTTCTTTGTTGTAAATTCTAAACTTGTTTTTCTTATAAGTCCTCGAAAGAAGGTTAGAAAAAACATCTGTCAAAAAAGCGTTGTGTTGCGCAGGCGCGGTGCAAGCACGGAAGAGAAAATAAACACATAACAGACGACATGCATATGACAAAGATGGAGATGTGATATCACACAAAGATAGCATTTATCGAAATTTTAGTTTGGGGACTTTTCAGTTTACTCCTATTTATTTTTCAATTTTTGGATTTTACAATTTTTCAGTTTCTCGGTTTTTAGTTTTTCTCTTCAATTTTACGATTTTTAAATATTTCGATTTTTCAATTTTTGACTTTTATAAACTCTTTATTTGTCGATTTTTCAATTAATTGATTTTTCAGGTTTTTTGGTTTTTCGATTTTTCTATTTTTCAACTTCACTTTTTTGATTTTTCAATTTTTCAATTTTTTAATTTCTCAATTTTCGGACATTTCAGTTTTGGTATTTTTCAATTTACTTATTATTCAATTTTTCGATCTTACGATTTTTTTAAGGTTTCGATATTTCGACTTCACTTTTTTGATTTTTCGATTTCTCAATTTTTCGATTCTTTACATTTTCAGTTTTTGGATATTTCAGTTTTGGAATTTTTCAGTTTTTCGATTCGTCAGTTTTTATTTCATTTTTCAGTTTTTCGATTTTTCAGTTTCTTGATATTTTAATTTTTTAATATTTAAAACTTTAGATTTTTAGATTTCTCGATTTTTCATTTCAGTTCTTCGATATTTCAGTTTTTCAAGTTTTCAAATTTTTCAAATGTTTTGATTTCTTAATCAACCGATTTTTCAACTTCCCGGTTTTAAATTTTCTGTTTTTCAATTGTCGTTTTTACAAATTTTCGATTTTTCAATTTTTCAAATTTGACATTTATAAACTGTCAATTTTTCGATTTTTCAATTAATCGATGTTTTGATTTTCCCATTTCTTGACTTTCGAGGGTCTCGATATTCCTGTTCGTCAATTCTTTAATTTTTCGACTTCACTTTTTGGATTTTTCTATTGCTCAATTTTTCGACTTTTTAGGTTATCAGGTTTTGGATATTTCAGTTTTCGTATTTTTCAGATTTTCCAATTTTCAGTTTTTCTTTCATTTTTCAGTTTTTTGATATTTCAGTTTTGAGATTTTTCAATATTTCTATTCTTCGACTTTTCTATTTTTGACTTCTGGATTTTTCGATGTGTCGATTTTTTCACTTTTTCGATTTTTCAATTTTTCGATTTTTAAATTTTAGATTTTTTAATTTTTAAAATTTTAGATTTTTCGATTTCTCGATTTTTCATTTCAGTTCTTCGAATTTTGAATTTTTCAAGTTTTCGAATTTTTCAAATGTTCCGATTTCTTAATCTTTTGATTTTTCGACTTCCCGGTTTTAGATTTTCTGTTTTTTAATTGTCATTTTGTCAAATCTTCGATTTTTCAATTAATCGATGCTTTGATTTTCCCATTTCTTGACCTTCGAGTGTTTTCATTTTCCTGTTCTTCAATTCTTTAATTTTTTGACTTTTCAGGTTTTTGATTTTTCAATTTTTCGGTTTTTTAAGGTTTCTATTTTTCGACTGTGTAATTTTCCAATATTAAAATTTTTCATTTTTCGATTTTTCAATTTTTCGTTTCCTCAATTTTTCAAGCCCTCGATTTTAATTTTTCATTTTCCCGATTTTTTAATATTACATCACCATTTTTTTTGTTGCAGTTTTGTTTTCAATGTTTCTTTCAATTTTTCGATTTTTCATTTCTTTCATTTTTCGAGTTCTTGATTTCTAATTTTTAGATTTTTCATTTTATATTTTTTCGGTTTTTCATTTTTGACTTTTCAGTTGCAGAATTTTGCAATTTTTCTGTTTTTTTATTCGATAAGTTGAAAAATTGGAAAATTGAAAAACCGAAAACGAAACTCGGAAAAAATTGAAACATCGAAATATTGAAATCTTAAAGAAGAAAATGCGAATCGAATCAAAAAATGGAAAACTCAAAATTTGTAAAATTGAAAAGTGATAAAATCGTCAAAATTGTAAAGTTGAAAAACCAAAAAGATCGAAAAACTTAAAAATGGTAAATAGAAAACCGTATAAATGAAAAAGTTTTTAAGATCCAATAATTGAAAAATGAAAGAATTCTAAAAACGTAATTAAAAAGTGAAACATTTCAAAAATTATAATTATTACTACATATTTAAAACAAAAAACAGAAAAATTGCAAATCGAAAAATTGAAAAATCCAAAAATTGAAAAATTTCACATTAAAAAAAGGAAAATTAAGAAAATTATAAAATAAGGACATTGAAAAACCGAAAAATTGAAAAAATAAAGCAAGTAAAAACCGAAACAAAAAACTGCAAATCGAAAAATTGAAGAAAGGAAAAGTTGAAAAATTAGAAACTGAAAAATCTAAAATTGAAAAAATCGAAAAATTGAAAATTTTCACCTTGAAAAAAGGAGAAGAAAGTGAAAAACCGAAACGAAAAATACCAAACCGAAAATTTGCAAAATCTAAAAATTGAAACATCCAAAAGTTGGAAATTCTGTAAAATTTAAAAATGTAAACTTGAAGAGTTACATATCCTAATTTTGAAGAAACAAAAAAATGAAAAATTGCAAATCAAAAATTTAAAAAAATTGAAACTGAAAAAACAAAAAATTATAAAATCCGAACATTGAAAAATCGATAAATATTTTAAAAATAAAGGAAATAAAAACCCAAAGAAAAAGATAGCAAGAGTCGAAAAATAGAAAAATTAAAAATTGAAAACTTGAGCAACAGCAAATTCATAAATCCCACTTTAAGTGGGATCATGACATGTTTTAAGTTTCTTGTTGTCGAAATAAGTCTACACAAATTAAGAAAAAAACGCAAAATGTAGCCCCGCCCACCCGCCCTATCTCAATTGTGATGAATTTTTCCTTCGTTGTCAGGTCGAGGAGTGGGGCTTAATTGCTCCATATTTGTCTGCAAGAATTTCTCATATTAAACTTGTTTTAGGTTTTTAAGAATAAAAAAAATCATCACAATTGAGATGGGGTGGGTGGGTGGGGTTTATATTGTGGCTTTTTCTTAATATGCATAGTATTCTTTGGAAAACACGATAATCAAAAACATGGTTTTAATTTCCAGTTTTTCGATGTTTCGATTTTTCAGTTATCCGATTTTTAAATTTTACATTTTTTCGATTTTCAGTTCTTTGATATTTCGATTTTTCGAATTTTCGATTATTTTAATTGTTTATTTTTTATCCCACTGTTAATATCGAAAACAACCACAAAAATTGTCACTAAAGACATAAAAAAAAATCATACAAAATCGAACACAGTGTTTCCAAAACGTTTTCCCGAAAAAAATCCATTGGGTTATTACGATTTCAACAATATTCAATATTTCAGTTTTGG